TAGCCATGCTTCTGATTTGCATTGGGGTCCACCTTATGTACCATTTAAGAGCTAATTTCTTACCATGTTTCCTTGGGACAGAATCCATGCTTTGCTGACCTTACCAGGAAGCTCTTTTCTATAAAACTAAAGTTCAGTCTTGTGTAACCCATGTGTTTGCCAATTTAACTTTCAAAGGTCATTTTTTCTTCAGCATAAAATGAGAAGGAAAATGTATTTTTGCCTCAACACTTTTCTAAATTATGATTTGTCCTCTCCTGTCATTTCCTTCTCTATGCTGCCATAACTACTCTCTTCCCCAGTGATCTCTGCCCAGAAATCGGGCACAGAGCACTCCTTCCCACCCTACCTGCCACCCACTAGCCTCTCAAGTTTAATCAGCTGAGGCCATCCTTCTATTTCATTGCATTGTCTCTTCAATTTCCACACTATCCATCACATTTGATGGCACATGGATAAACGTCTTTCTTTATTAAAGAGCGGTTTACTATTCAAAATGAAGTACCACATGAAAGGGAAAATGTTAAAGCTATAGCATATATATGAGTTTCCTCACAGAGAAAACCAGAAGGTCCTGCACAAGGGAATTACATTGGGTGGATTCATCCCCACTCCTTAACCTGGCTCCGCTTCCCTCTGATTTATGCTTTATCTTTCAAAGTGTTGATTTTTTTCTCCCCTTGGAATCTCTCCCCACCATTAGCATCCGGCAGATTGGAGGAGGTCCGAGCTGACATGGGCTTCCTGGGGGGAATCTCCTTTGCAATATACTAGTCAGTGTGAGTTACTTATTGTACCAATGGGGCCAAGAATGAGGACACACACACATATATACATACGCATCTGCCAAGACCAAGTATTAATTATCAAAACAGTATAGTTTGAGCCGATATCTTTTATGCTAAAGGATCTATTCATAAAAGGTTTGTGAAACTGAAGTGGATTACAACTTGCATTTTAATGGGATAAACTAGAAGAAAATAGAATAAGATAGAAAATATCACAGTGCACTGCACACTGTGTAACTATGATTTTGTCAAATGTATGTTTCAGATATATGTGTGTGTGTGTTTGTGTTTTGGTTTGCAATATAAAACGTTTCTTACTATGCGTTGCATTAAAAATAACGTGGAAAAGTCCCGTAAACACACAAAGAAGTTCTAAAAACTCTAACTGCAAGATCCTCATCTCTTCCAAAGGAATAGCACATTATTAAGCTGAGTATTATCTATTTTCTTTCAGGCTTCAAGAACATGCTGTTTCGGTCCTGCCAGAAATAGAAAGAGTTGAATATCTCTTAATGAAAAGATCATTTTACTGAGGACTCCATTATCTTCTTAGATATGAGCCATTGATTACCCCAGTTTTTATTCAGGCAAATAGAAGAAAGTGTTCTACTGTTTTAATTCTCTTATATTGGGCAAGTTTTCCTCATATCCTCTTGATATTAGTTCCACACGTGACTCAGGTTGATGTTACCAACTGCCACATCTCCCAGCTGACTGCTTTTCTACTTCCTTGGATTTCTGCATGTCACCTGCTTTTAATAAAACTCTGAGATTCATAAAGCCAGTAATTTAATGGATACCATGCTATCTCTATGACCCAGCATGATGCCTGGCCCTTAGTGGGTATTCAATAAGGATTGGTAGAGTCAAACTGAATTCTGGCCCTCCTTTTTTCTACCTGTTGGTGTCTGGTTAATGTCAATGACATGACTAGACCTATAGTACAATATTGCATGGGAATATTAATAATGAATGCATTACTTAGTTCCATCAGGAAAAAGACCTTAAAAGTTAAAGAAAAGGGGAGAAATATGTAGACAAGGTATTAGCACTTGTAGAGAGTCCAGCTACCCCTGGTTTGCCTACACTTCTCACCATTTATGAAACAGATTCTACAGGAAACCCAGCTGCAAAGTGGGCTGGTGGGAGTGATATAATGTTTTGAAGCCAAATGTCATTTGTGCTCCTTTCCCGGTCCTTTGGCTAGAGAGAGCAGGCTTTTGCTGGGGCTTCTTTTTGTCTGTGTCTATTGGTATTTCCAGGTTGCCATCTTCTTCAGTTTCCAGCCTGGGATACGTGAGGCAAAAAGAAAACCAAGGAAACTCACCACTGTGTTATTCTTTGAGGCCCCAGGTCTCCAGCCAATCTCCCTTCCCTCCACCTTACAGTCTTCTTATGTTTATTTTATACATATTTTAGCTGTACATACCGGTAGGAATAGGAGAAGAATACCTACTACATATGCCCAGAAGCAGTTGCAGTATCTGACAAATTTCAATTATATCAAGTTGGTTAATAGTGTTATTCAAATCATCTGTAACTTTTCTGATATTCTCTTTTGTTCTAATGTTGCTAGGGTTGCAAGTGTACTTCTCCAATTACATGGACTACAAAGTGGGTAATATCGTCTGTTTTCCAGTTATACTGCAGACGTAGGCAATGAGCAATTTTATGTGCCCTCCAGATTAATCTGTATGGTTTTCTTTTGTGGAAGATGTGTGAAGAGATCTGGTCTAACCAGCCATCATTTCCTTACAGGGATAAGGAAATCTTCTTCTTAATCATAATGTTAGTGCCTTTCCTATCTGGCAAAACTAGAATTATGCTGTTATACAAAGGATCTCTTAAGCCATTGCAAACAAGGGAAATGGGTCCCAGGGAAGCAACAAGTAACTAATAGCCAAAGTCCTCTGAATCTCTAGCAGATAAAACTCTCTTTAGTTGGAGGGTGCAGGCAGTTTTCTTTTCTCACTTGAATTTAATTTCTAAAGTTACTGCTCCTAAAGACACTGAAAATGTTGATACTAGAGCTAAGAATACCCAAAGACCGTCTACCTTACCTCCTTCCCTTATCTTCACTCTGTCTTGTGATCCATACTTCACTTCAAACCTCCATTTCATGCCCCACCAAGTAATAGGTCCCAAGATACTTTTTGTCCATCATCAGTAGAATTTGGGTGTTCATGAACAAGTTGATTTCAGTTATATAAAATAAAATGGTACATTTCTTCACATTTAAGTTTTCCGTAAATAATAACCCCATAATATAAACAATGAAGAGCCAATGGAAGATTTAGGTAGGGCAGCAAGATCAGATTTGTGTCTTAGAAACAACATTCGTGAAATTCCCAAACGATATCTAAAGAGACTGGATAAATTCCCCTGCAAGTCAAAAAGGAGGCATATCACATTCATGCATGAAAGACTATATTATGAAGATATTACTTCTACCAAATTTATGTGACTCTAACCAAAATTCCAGTAGAGTTAAATCTTGGTGGACTAGACACAATGTCTCTAAAATACATGTGGGAAAACACATTCTCAAGAACACAGTAAAAAAATAAATGATAGGTGAATTCCTTCCTTTCTTCCCTTCATGCATATTACTGAACACCTATCAAGTGATTAAAAAAACTTGCAATGCACTGCAATTACAAGGTCAAAACTGGGTATAGATAGAGTCTTTTCCTTCATGGAGAGTACAATCTAATTATATAGGAGGCGATATTTTGGAGAGAGTAAAAGTACTGATTTTCAAAAGAGGAAAAAATCAAAGATGCTACCAGGAATGGCATAATGTATCACAGAAGACATTCATGGTATTTGTCTAAGAAGACTGATGGCTAATAAGCTAAAAAGAACATTCATTCTCTAAGATGAGAGAAAATGTGGAGAAAGGAAGTGAACATGGGCTTTGGAGTTAAATGTACCTGTGTTTGAATCTCATTTCTGCCCAGCAGTAGCTTCGTTAGTAGCCAGTTAGCAGATGAATTAGCGTCAGCAAGTGAATTTACTCCTCTAAGCCTCAATTTCTTTTTCTCTTATGCAAGTTTAAGAGTGGTATAAACCTCATGGAATTCCTCCTGTGAGGGATAAATGTGAGGAGGAATGGAAACCACAGGTGGATATTGGCAGAAAGAAAGGGATGGATGAATGTATAGGTCCCTGGGTAAGTTGATATGGAGAGAGGGATAAAAACAGAAAGAAAGATAGATAATAAATTTCCAGAATTACAAGGCAAAGCGAAACAAAGTGAGGCTAGTTCATCCTGGTGCTTCTCCATTCAGTAAAGAAGAGGTCAAGTTTTTCATTCAAAGAAATGTAGGGGAGGTACAGTCAGATAATTGAAAAAAATGGATAAAAAAAGGAAACAATATGGAGATGGGTGGCATAGGCAGCAACATGACATTAAGCAAGAGGTTTCCCTAGGAGTCTAGAGGGTTTAGTCGAGTAAGGGTGACAGCAGGATTGCTGAGTCCATTGGATGGAATTTGTTCTATCTTTGCTCCACAATCAAGGTCTGGAGCAGGAAAACAGGAAGCTGAATTTATCCTGGCTTGGAAGAAAAAGGGAAGAACAAAGAGCAGGATGCCAAGAGAGCATGGCAATGTCAAGGAACTAAATATAAATGTCAGACTATGGGACTCAGGCTGGGAAAGGAAGACATAGCAGAAAGAGGAGTAATAACTACCCCAGGAGAGTTTAAAGTCTATGAGATAGAAATTTTCCAGATAATGTCAAATTTTCAGGCTTGCTTAAGTTGAGATGAAGTAGAGGGAAACCAGCAGAGAAATTGGGAGGCTTGGGTATTGCAAACATCATCAGTTGCAATGCTGGAGTTTCCCAGGCTGACATCAGAAATCACGTCCTAGAAAGAAAAAACGGAGAAACCTTCCAAGAAGCAGGATGGACTAAGTGTCCTCAGGAGGCAGAGGAGACTGGGAAGACTCTAACTGGCCTTGAAGTTGGCAAGAAAGTTCCCCATGTCATTTGGAATGTGGTAGGTAATTAGTCTGTTTTTCAAATGTCATCAGATATTTAAGATGCCAGTCCGCGTTGTTCTCATAATCCGCAATTAGAAACCACAAGTACAGAACCTCCAGGTCTGTCCCTACCTGCTTGAGCATGAAACATCAGAGAAGGTGGTTCCAGAGAGGGATAAAACTAGGAAACAGTCGCTAGACCAATTTCACACCAAGCAAGTGGTCACTCAACTGAGCAGGAAGATGGGTCCCCTCTGCTCAACATGCCTCAGGCCACAGACTCACGGAACAGCAACTTTGCTTAAGCCTACCTGTGCCCTCAGGGGACCTACACAGGGCTCCTAGTTCTCAGGAACCTCACGCTTTGCAGCAATCTCACTTAGGTAATGTCTCTTCGCCTCTATCCTCAGTCCAAGTCAGCGATGGGATCTCTTTGATTTTCTTCTCTGTCGGTAGATTTCTTCGTATTTTTGTTTTCCTTTAGCACCTTCCTTTTGTTTCCTAAGCACATAAAAGCAGGGAAAACTTTAGTGCTAATATGGCTCTCCTTCATTTCTCTACATCCCCACCAGCTGCAATTTGGAGAAGAGACAGAACGGATAGAGTAGGGCATAAGGAAGTTGAGGAAATGACTTGGAATGTGTCTTCTTTGTGGGGTTAAATATTTCAATCCCTAAAAAAGAAGAGTTTGGCTAAAGAAATTGGCAATTTAATTTAAAGTCTTTACTTATGTCAGTTGATCCTCTTGAAATAGACTTGAAGTTATAGACTTCATCGTTTTCCAGAGGCTCATGCTTCTAAGAGATGTTGAAGCTAGAATTTGAACTCAGATCTCTCTGAATCATATATATATATGTGAGTCATAAAAATTGTGTGTACCTATATATGAGTCATAAAAATTTGTCTAGATCTAGATATATATCTTGATTCTTGCATCAGGGAAGGTATACAAAGTTTTTATGACCCAAGACCAACAATTCTATTTTCAATCCATTCTTTGTATTTCATCCCATGTAACCGGCCTGGAAGAAGAAACTTAGCTAGGAAATGAAGGACTTCAGTGTGGGAGAAACCAGTCCATTCAGGGAATCAAACCACTGGTGTCATAGAGTGACATGTCCCTGATTGTGCAGGACGGTACACAGTTCACACTTATTGTCTCAGAATTCTTGTAAATTCTCAGAGTGCCCATATGCACTAACACAAGTGTCCAAGTTTGGATGATAGCCTGTAGGGTGAATCTGTTTGTGGGTAACAGATCTGGCGTCAGCCCTGGTGAGAGCACTGAGCCTAATTCCCCTTCCAGGACTGTGATTATACACTGGCTGCACGCAGAAAGCAAAGTTATTTTGACAATTTTCTTTCCCTCTTTAGAGCAGAAGGGCCTCTCAGGTCTGAACCTCTGAAGACGAAGGCAGTGTGAGACCACCATGGCCAAGTTTTTGGGAATGGCACCATCTCAGGGCAGTGGGGTCTTTCATGTTTGGAAAGCCAACTGTGCAAGAGATTAGGAATAAACTCTCTTGAGTGTTTTCACAGGCCTGGCCAAAGCAGGACATTAAGTGAGATCAAATGGCTGCCTTTGCCCACATGACCGTATTTTTCCTGGTATCCTCCACTCTGGAACATACTGTTTTTTCAGGTAAGTAAATTTATAGGTCTTGAGAGAGAACATCTGATTTTCTTTCAGTTGTAGGAAAGAAAAAGAGTAATTTGTGACTGGAAATGGGAAACGTTTAGCTGAAACATAGGTCTTTGGGCTGGATAATGCAAATTGGGTGTCAATTGGGTATCACTGTTGGAAAACGGAGTTAGTCTGGAAAAACCTAGATTTGAAAACTAAATAGCACTCTTCTACATGGGTCAAGAAAAATCAAAAGAGCAGTTCAAAATTATTTTGAACATAAGGAAAATGAAACAAAATGAACAAAAGTTCAGATTCAAAGTGTCAGTGTCTCTATACCCTTTTTCTTTCACTCCAATCCCACCCCCATCCTGTAGGTAACCAATCTCATTAGCTTCTGCTTTAGCTTTCCTATGCTTCCTTTTGTTCAAATCAACAAATATATGTACATTTTGTTACTCCTCCTACTTATACCATAGATACCAGTTTGCATCTTGCTCTTTCCCAATTTACAAATATTCTGAAAATCAGTACATATCAGTTCACAGGACTCTTCCTCATTCTTTTACACAACTACATAAAATTTGATTGGGTGGATGTACCAAAGTTTATTCAACCACTCTTCTATGTATGGGCATTTAGTGTGTTTCTAGTATTTTGCAATTATAAACAATGCTCCAATAAATAACCTTCTGCAAATGTATTTCTTTATTGTTGAAGGCGTATCTTCAGGGTAAATCTCTTGAGTTGAGATTGATGAGGCAAATGTACATGCAAATGTAATTTTGTTCTGTGTTGCCAATTTTCACTCCATAAGGTTCTATCAATTTGCATTCCCACCAGTAGTATACGAGAGTCTCTTTCATTGTAGTTAACCTGATGGGTGAGAAATGTATTTTAGGATAGTTTTGATTAGCATTTTTGTTATCATAGTGAGGTTGAATATCTTTTACAGATTTAAGGACCATTTCTGTATCTTTGGGGAGTTGTGTGTGAATTGTATGTGCACGTATATTACCCATTTGGCAGTCGGGTTTTTTATGTTTTCACCCTCAATTTTAAAGTACTCTTTATATAGTTGGTATCTTCTCTGTGTTATGTGTTGCAAATATTTTCTCCCAGTTTATCAGATATGTTTTTAGCTTGTTTATATTTTGCCATGAAAAAGTTATTTTTATTTGTATGTAATAAAATGTATCAATCTTTTCTGTTATTGCACTGAGAGTGATGAGTCTTTGTCAGAAAGTCTTTCCTACATTAAGATTAAGGAGGAATTCAGTTGTGTTGTATTTTAATCCTTGTGTGGTTTCACTTTTTATGTTCAGATCCTGGTCCATTTGAAGTTTATTCTTACATATGATATGCAGCACATATGTATTATTTTATAATTACCAGATGAAGGCCTTTATTTTCTTTCCTCATAACTATGTCCAGCTGCTTTTGTCTTTAAAATATTCTGCCTTTTTAGATCTAGATAGGAGAATTCCATGTTTGTTATTCTCTAAAGGAGTGTGTATGTAATCGGCATAGTCTATTCCTGGAAAGGCTGGGAGTCTTGCTGTTGCTTTTGCGGAAGCTTTTTAAATATCATTCAAGTTTTCTCTTCTAACTTTGGAAATTCTAACTATTGGAAAGCTAGAATTTTCTAGGATATTTTAAATATCATCTAACAGTGAGAGATGAGGGCAAGCAGAACTGCAATAGGTCACTTCTTATTCATTCTCCCACAACCATCTTGTCATCCTCTATCCCCAGGCAACACAGGCAAGCACTCCTCACATACACCAATGCCGATCTCCCTCAGTCTCCCCAGAGCCGAGGAACTCCTAAGTTTTCTCATCATCACTCTTAGTATCCTCTTTAGCATCTTGGTAGGAACTGGCCTAATACTTACGGTATCATGTTTAATTTTACAGCAATCTTTAAAATGCATATACTTATCCCAATTTTAGAGAAGTGGCAACTAAAGTCAACAAAAGTCAAATAACTTAATGAAAATAGCATGGTTTGCAAGACATGCATACAACTCCAAACAGTTTTGACTCTCCTCAGTGACACAGCAAATTTATAAATGAAGTCAGGACTTCAATGAAGGAAAACGAAGGAAAGAATAAGTAAATGGATAAAGTAATTAACAAAGAAATGCCACCCACAAATTCTGTTGCTATAAATTCTTTTGTATATTTTTGTGCAAATGAGTAATTAAATTACATTTCTTTACTCCTTCAGTAATTTCAGTGGGTAAAATCATATTCCATGGAGAACTATTTCTCTTAACTCATTGTGTCTGTACTTTATTTGCAGGAATGTTCAAACCACACAACTTGTCTAAATGGCCTACGGTAAATTTAAACTTCTCTGTTCTGAACTCTTATTCTAATCTGATCACTCTCTTGACGTGAAAGACATAAAATTTCATAGTGGTGAAGTAGAATGAAAGGTTTCTGTTTGACCTTGGGCATGTATCTTAACCTTCTGGGCTTAGATTTACTCCCGTATGTGCTTGTCGTACAAGCATTGTAATAGTCAAATATATCTATGACCATTAAATGAAACACCTGTCACTTGCTTAAGGTCGCAAAGTTAAACAGTGGCGTGTACAGGATTTGTTCCTAGTCTCAATACAGAACCCTCACTCTTTTTTGTTTTGTTTTGTTTTGTTTTTGAGGAAAATTAGCCCTGAGCTAACATCTTCTGCCAATCCCCCTCTTTTTGCTGAGGAAGACTGGCCCTGAGCTAACATCCGTGCCCATCTTCCTCTACTTTATATGTGGGATGCCCACCACAGCATGGCTTGCCAAGTGGTGCCATGTCCGCACCTGGGATCCAATCCGGTGACCCCGGGCTGCTGAAGCAGAACGTACACACTTAACCCCTGTGCCACCAGGCCAGCCCCAGAAGCCTCACTCTTAACAACTACATTTGAGTGCCTGTGCTCTAGAGGTTCACAAACACATAAACATCTCTACTCACAAACTTCTTACAATGAGTTACTGGCATTGGGACTCCAAGTTTAAATGAAAACTTTGCATTTGGGTTTAAGCTGGGATATTATAATGCTCACTGCTTTAAGAGATGAGGGGATGGGTGAAGACACGGCGGTCAGAAATAAACTTGGGGCCGGCCCAGTGGCACAGCAGTTAAGTTTGCACGTTCGACTTCAGCGGCTCGGGGTTCGCCAGTTCAGATCCCGGGTGCGAACATGGGGCCGCTTGGCACACCATGCTGTGGTAGGCATCCCACATATAAAGTAGAGGAAGCTGGGCATGTATGTTAGCTCAGGGCCAGTCTTCCTCAGCAGAGAGAGGAGGATGAGCAGCAGTTAGCTCAGGGCTAACTCCTCAAAAAAAAAAAAAAAAAAAAAAGAAACTTGCCTGACCAAAGCCCAGAGCAGAGGAAATTTTTGAAAAAGATCAATTGACTAGTAATATTTGACATTATTTCTATGTGGAGTAGAAGTGACAGGCCAGGAATAGATGGGAGAGAATCTATCAATTGTTACTCACATCACATTTTATGATATTTGCAGCCACCATGTGAATTGTACCACCCAACGGATGTTCTTTATGACTCAGTCTGTCCTGATGTAACAGCACATGTTTGTGCTACAAATGGCCACACTTACCAGAATGAATGTTTCTTTTGTCTTGATCAATGGTAAGTTCAAAATGAAATCCCATTTGTTTCTCTCTATATTTCTTCACAGAAATTTCAAATAATCTTAGGCAAGGAACTGGATTTACTGATGCATGAGCTTTTTTCTAACATAGCCACCACTGTTCATAAAAGACTGGGGACAGACTACATATATAGTGAAAAGTCTTTTTTAAAAGCTTAGTTTGGAACTGGCCTGGGGGTGCAGCGGTTAAGTGTGCACGTTCCACTTTAGCGGCCCGGGGTTCACCAGTTCGGATCTGGTGCAGACATGGCACCACTTGGCAAGCCATGCTGTGGTAGGCATCACATGTATAAAGTAGAGGAAGATGGGCATGGATATTAGCCCAGGGCCAGTCTTCCTCAGCAAAAAGAGAAGGATTGGCAGCAGATGTTAGCTCAGGACTAATCTTCCTCAAAAAAAAAAAAACCCCAAAACTTAGTTAACATTCAAAGTTGACTCATCAAAAAAAAGAAAGAAAGAAAAGCTTCATGATATTTTGGCAGAATCGTACAGAGATCATATTAGTAAATAGTTTATAAATTATATTCAAGCAATGAATAGAAATCCTTTTTTCTTTTTGAAAGTTTTTTTTCCCCCTGAGGAAGATTCTTCCTGAGCTAACGTCTGTTGCCAATTTTCCTCTTTTGGCTTGAAGAAGATTCGCCCTGAGCTAACATCTGCAGCAGCCATCCTCTATTTTGTTTGTAGGTCACTACCACAACACGGCTGCTGATGAGTGGTGTAGGTCCGCACCCAAGAACCAAACCCAGGCCACCAAAGAGGAGAGGGCTGAACTTGACCCCTAGGCCACGGGGCTAGCCCCTAGAAATCCATTTTTTTAAAAATCACTCAAACTTTCTTTAACAAGTCACATTGACATACCTGTGAATAGCACCCATAAGTGTTGCTTGGTAGATGTGAATAGATAGAGCTACCGATGCAGATGTAGACATAGACATAGATGCAAGGGTAGATAACAGACTAGACACAGACATAGATGCAGGGGTAGATATACACATGGGTAACAAAGTGGCTCACATGGATAAAAACTGATGACCAACTTTTAATTTTTTTTTTGCCTTTCAAATAAATTCAATAGAAAATTTAGATTAAAAAATTAATATTTTTATGATACATTTCAGCTCCATTTGACATTGTTTTTACAAATCAGTCTTGTGCCTTATCAGTAACTCTTCCATTGAGATCTTATGTGTCGGGGGTCCCCAAGACCACCCTCGGGTTGATGATTCACTAGTAAGGCTCACAGAACTCGGAAAAGTTGTTATAGGTGTAGCAGCAATTTATTACCATGAAAGGCCACAGATTAAAATCAGCAAAGGCAGAAAGCTCTGCCAGACTCCACCCCAGAGTCTAGGCAGAGTCTGGCAGAGTCTGGCACAAGAGATCAGAACCGATTGTCCTCTCTCAGTGGACTGTCACAGGCAGTGTGTGATGCCACCAGCTATGATGTGTGACCACACATACAAGTATTGCCAACCTAGAAAGCTCACCAAAGCTCTGGTGTTCAGGCTTTTTACTGGAGGCCAGTCACCCTAGGCAAGCAGCACTTGCATGACTGACCACTACTTTAGTCTCTAGCCCCTTCTTCGCCCCTGACCCAGAGGTCAGATGATGCAGAGTGGCTTAGGAGCCCAGATGAACAAAAGCAGGCATTCACCTAAGCATAAACTATCTGGCCTGGCCCATGGCCCTAGGTTACAAAGACACCCCTAACAGGCAAGATATTCCGAATGTTTATAGGTTATTTCCCAGGAATTAATTTGAACATCCCAAGTCTGCCGAGCTCTCTCTTCTCTTTAACGCACTTCTTCCTTTAGCAAGAGTCCTCATGGGCTTGAGCATCATGTTCCCATCCTGTGAGGATTATTGCTGAGCACTGAAAGAAATAGGGTGTTGAAGCTAGTACAATAAAGGAAATATCTGCTCATCTTCAGAGCAAATACTAGACTCAGAGGATTATTGAAATGTCTTTTAAAGGTTTTCCTTTACGGGAACTGAAAAATGTGAATTAACCAAATCTCTACCGTGGGTTTCCAAGAAAGATGAATGAGAATTCCTGAGCATTACTAAACTATGTAGAATAATTAAATTACATTATCATTCCTTCCTAATGTAGTTGATGTCAGTTTTTCAGGCAGGTGCTAATTAGGCAAGACGTTTGGAAGAGTCTTCTCAGCTCTTCCACGTAAGCCTTTTGCCACACTCTGTGGTGTTTGGACACACACCACGAAAAAGAGCAGTGCAAAAGGAATTCACTCGCCATGGCCCAGGCTTCTGGAAAGTAGTATAGGTTGATGCAGAGGTACAGTGTGGGCCTTGATCCTCTGCTAGGCTAAACCCAACAACTTCCCACAAAGACGGTTCTGAGATTTCTTTCAGCCTTATCTAGGGGACTTGAAAAAGTCTCAGTAGCTCAAAGATCATGCCTCACGCCTGTTCTGGCAGAAATGGGAAGAGATGGAAGGAACTATTTCCTTTCTTCCTTTTTTACTTTCTTCCTTCCTTTCTGTCTCGTAACTGCCAGAGGTACTATGAACAGTCTAGCAGTTATTTCTCAACCTAAGTATAAATGAGGAGCCCCTGTTAGTTAAAAAGCAAAAAATGGTTCAGGAACATTGGAGCCAATATGGGCACAGTTCTTATCAAACACATCTGTTTCTGGAACACAGAGAACGTTGATGCCAATGGCAGGGGTGGTGCAGTGGACTGTGGATTTGATTTAATTCCCAATGTGAGACGCAACTTGCATGGATAAACTTGGCCTGTGTGCCATTTCTATATCTTGGGACAAAAAGAACAGTCCTGATGCTCTTTTGAGTGACGGAAGGAAGAGAGTAAGTCCCCTGTCTCTGCTCTTAGCAATATTTTGAAGAAAAATCCTGGAAAATTGAACTCACAATCCTGAGAGATACCCTCAATTTATGAACAATATAAATCCTTTGCGAGAAAAAAAGAAAACTGAAGAGGGCAAGTCTTGGTCAGAATTGTTACAGAATCATAGTCACTACCTTAAAGGAATTTCCCCAGCCTGCTCAGTGTAGAACCCTCATAATAGTTACTGAGAAAATAGTTATGTGAGTCAGACCCCAGACTCTTCAGATGTTTGCGGTCTTATTTGGCAAAAAGAATATATGCATAGGGAAATGATAATAGATAATAAAAACAGCATTGGTTTTGTTCAACCAAAATAGTATTTTAGTAAGTTTTGAAATGGGTGACAGTATTACAAAAATCAGGTTTTACCTAAAGATATAGATTTTCAACTTTTTTCAAAAAATCAAACATTAACTTAATAGTAAGTTAGGATTTCACATGCAAGAAATAAGCAACAGCTGCCTAGTAGTCACTGCCCCTCCATATGGAGTTCCAGCATCCAGACTACCGTAGTCCCCCTGTCTTTATTGTGGTGAAGGGGGCCCACTCACCTATTTATCTTACTGGCTTGGCTCCTACAAGCATTTATGTTTGCAACCCTGAAACAAGAGAGTAGATCAGATATACATCAAAGGTTAGCCTGATATGGAGGTTGGGGTGGGAAGTCTCTTGAAGAAAGATAAAGTTAAAGGATTCTTAAAGAAAAAAAAATATGAAAGAAAATAGAGTAGGAAATCTACGCAGGACTCTCTGCTGGGAAACATTTGGAATTGAGAAAACGTGCGATGCCTTTAGGAAAATAATAAAGGGAAAAATTGTGTTGAAAGGAATGTTATGTATTTAAAGAAGGGTGATACATAAGGGTGGAGAGTTAGGCAGAGGCTTGACTTCCAGAAAACATAAATGCCAGAGTAAGGAGAATAGGTTCTAGTCAAAGGACAGTGTAAACCTAGTGAGAATTTGAGCAGAGTGTGAATTATGTGAATTGTCATGCACAGCATTAATATTATGGTTATCTTTTACTTCTTGGTAGAAAAATATGGCATTGCTATGTTGAATGGAAAGATATCGAAATGGGAATGGGTTAGAGGATGAAAGATTCCCTGTGGAAAACTTCACAGAACGCTTTTTGAATAATCAACACACAGGATGAATGTGCAAGCAGTGGTGATAAGCAGGAATGGAGAAGAGAAGGTTGTAAAGGCAGCTCTCCCGTTCTCAGATCTTCCTTTGGAAGATGAGGGGATGTGAAGTCATGCCCCCTGTCCTTATGGTGCTAATCTTTTTTATTTCTCTCTCTCTTCTCTTTAGGGAATTTGGTCCTCATATCCAGTTTAATAGATATGGAAGATGTGAATAGTGGGGAACAGAGTACTACACTTTCTTATTCTTTTCAGCACTTAATTCTGAAAATTATTTCTTTTGGAATTTGAGGGTATATAATAAATAAGAAACTCATGCTGCACTCAAATTTGGAACAAATCAGAAAGAAACAAAGGAATCAAACTAATGAAGAACCAAATATCACATTTATTATAAATAAACATAACAATGAAAGAAGTGGTAGACACTTATCTCTGTGTTCTGATTGTTTAAAGTCAGCTTTTGTTTTTCTTGGGTGGTCTAAGGTCTGTGAAGAGAGCTTATTCACACTCACCTGGATTCAACTTACCCCAAATTGCAGGCTTATCTGAAAGTGATACCCCCCTCACTCATCTCACTTGGGACGTGAGCAAAAGAGAAAGTAGCCACCCACACACATACACAGAGCTGTTTGAGGCTTTCTACCTCATACTCATGAATGAAGCTCACCTTCATGAGGAGAGAAAAATGTCCACACGCTAATAGAAGGAGGGCAAAGGACAGCCAAGATTTTTGGGGGGAGAGGCATGTTTTTGAGAAAGAGAGGGAGTGGCCATCATTTGACTCCCCTAGTTTCAGCAAACCTTTCTCACTCGTCCCATCCTTCCTGTTACCTCAATCAATAATTTCCTTTTTCCTTTTTGCTTAATCTGATTTATAATCTTTCATTTATAACAGAAATATCTTTACAAATACAGGAAGATGAAGTCATTGTTATGTTTGAATGCTGGGAAAATGAAAGGTTCTGGCCTTTGGCTTCTGCACTCTGTGCCATTACCACTTGTTACCACCAGATGCCAGCCTTACTCTTTTATCTTAATCTGACTCGTTCTTTAACCAGAAGGGTCAGAGAAGGGCACCCAACTCTACTTTCTCCCTCAGCTTTCCAGCTAACCACACAATCTACCTCTGCTAGCAACAGGGACTCTATCCTCTTACATCTCTCCCTCCTGTTCCCAGTGCACCTGGTCAGTAGGGTGGCTCTCTTTGATGGTGCAGAGATAAAGCTTCAGGACTTTCAGTCCCCTCAAAGAATCTCCTAAGATACGGACTTTCTCGTGGTAATTTTGAGCATCTCGCATAGCTTAACACTATTCATTATCCCGTCTCTCCACTTCTACCTTACCAAAAATAACAAAGACGAAACCAAAATCCTCACCCACAAGGGGTGGGGAGATGCAACCCTATCCTAACACAGAATATAAGGGGCAGATCAAGGAAAATGTTTTCCTTTATTTTTTACCTCTTCAAAAAAAGCGAAAGTCCACAATTCTTCTATTTCAGTAGGGAAATAAATGGAGCATAGTCAAGAAATCCCTGATTTGTAAGTGTCTTCTCTGTTGTGTGCAAATCCTGGCCTGGTTGGGAGACAGACATGAACATGGACATGGTAACTAAGCACATAAGAAGGGTAAGCTGAGATGGAAATAACGATCCATGGTTTCAGATGAGGACACAGGTGTTCCAGTAAAGGAAGGGGCAGTTGACACCCTGGCCCAGCCTTTTGAGCAGAGGTAGAATTCTAACAATAATTAGCCCACGTTCATTGAGCACATGCACCATGCCTAGTGCCACAAGTGGTTGATTTGCTTTGTCTTAATTAGTTCTCTCCACAGTCCCATAAGCCTGATACCATTGTCACCCCCATTTTACAGATGAGAAAACTAAACTTAGACAAAGTAAACTTAAGTAAACTGCAGTCTTATAATTCATAAAGGAGAACTGTGATTAAAACTCAAATTTTCCTGCTCCTAACCACAACTTATGTTGTCCATGAACCTAAATGGGATTTGGAAAAAGAGTAGGCAGAGGTAATTATAAGAGATTTTCAGAAAGGTACAGACCCACATGCTCTTAAAAAATATCAAACTCTTCTTTAAGAAAGTATTCTGCATTAACGGTCAAGTAGTGTATCAAAATAAAACTTTGTTTTCAAAATTATAAAATCAGTCCTCAAATGGAAGCCTATTTTTCCTGCTTACTTTTCAGATAATTGAAATAAATTAGCCAATACTCACTTAGCATCAACTTTTTAGATCTGATCTGCTATTCTTCTCTTTTCTGATCTCCAGACCTATTTATTCCCTATAAAGCAGTAAGAAATTTTTTGGAGCACAGGCAAATAAAATCTATTGGTTTGTTTAACAAATATTTATTGAGCGCCTACTCTGTGCCTGACACTATTCTACGTACCGGGCAGAGAAGACCCCTGTTCTCATGGAGTTCATATTCTTATGGCCTTATGCAAGAGATAGTGCTGGGGGTAAAACAGTAACAACCAACCAACAAACAAAACATGATATGATGGCTAGAGAGTGAGGTAATGCCAGGGAAGGCAACCTTGAGGAGCTGACATGTGGCTGAACCAGGAATAACAAAAAGGAGATGGCCATGGGAAAGCTGGGGAAGGGGCTCCAGGCACAGGAGCAGCAAGGTAAGGAGTAGATTGGGCCTGCTTTAATGAGAGAAATGGCCAGAGGGCTTAGGAGAAGTCAAGACTGCATGGTGAAATCAGAGAGATTTGGTGGATCCAATGATATTGTGCAGGTAGCCCTTAAAGCTATGGATAGAAGTCTGGGTCTTATTCTAAATGATATGAAAAGCCATTAGTAGGTGTTTGTTCCTTTAATATTTTGAAGACTTTAAGCTAGAGCCTGGCTCCTCCAGACATAACTCCTGAACATAATTTACCTATAAACATTATGGAGAATTTCTCACTTCCTCCTCCGCCTCCTGATTTTCCAGACCCTTGTTCCTCAGAGCACGAGTCAGGAGCAGCACTTAGGGAGCTTGTTAAAAGGCAGAATTACCAGGCCTGGCCCCATGGCGTAGTTGTTAAGTTCAGCATGCTCCGCTTCTGCAGACTGGGTTCGGTTCCCTGGTGCAGACCTACGCCACTCATCGGTGGCCATGCTGTGGTGGTGACCCACATAGAAAATAGAAGAATATTGGCACAGATGTTAGCTCAGGGTGAGTCTTCCTCATCAATCAATCAATCAATAAATAAAAACGTAGAATTACAGATCTCACCTCAGATATGCTGAGTCAAATTCTGAATTTCATCAAGATTTGCTGGGGGATTTCAATGCTCATTATAGTTTGAGAAGCATTGGTTTATACTTTTTAGAGGAGCCTTTGAGAAAGAGAAGTGGTTTTTTTTAAATTGGTTTTTATTTTCTTCCTGGGAGATACATATGCTCCCAAGATATAATGTGGCTTAGTGTTAACCATTCTGAGCAAGGTTCACCTCAGCGTAGTTGGTGGTTAGTAGTTAATGAGTTAGCTTACAAACTCTGAAATCAAACTTCCTAAATTCAAACCTCAACTCTACCTCATGTTATTTAAGTGAATTTCAGCAAGTTACTTAACCCCTCTGACCTTACCTTTCTTATGTGATAAAAACTGCACTTGAAACATAGGGATTCGATTTTATTATTATCACTGTTTTATAATTATATCATCATTATTTTATTATCATTATCATCATCATCGTCATCATTTTCTGTTCCTTTCTCCTGTATGACATTAGAAATGTTTACATTAGTTGGAGAATAACAGTATTAATGGAAAGCGTAAACCAGTTTTATTGAAAGTCACTATGCGATAAAATATAGGTGCTCGGATCTCATGTGACATTCATTTCTTCTTTGGAATGCCTTGCCATTTCCATGACTCAACTGTGACTTCTGTGCAAATGATTCCTTGGACTGATCTTTTTCAAGACCTTAGCTTCAGTCCCAGAGCTCCAATCGCCTGATAGACCCCGTATCTGAATTTTTTACCATCATCTTAGGTCCATCAATCTAAAGGTCCAACCTCAACCAAGCATCTCTCACCACAGCCTGGCTCCTCTTCCAGCTCTCCCTATTTCAGTCCGAGGAGCTTCATTTTCTCAGTCATGAGGCTCAAAAATTATATTCTTCCCTTTGTCTCTCAATGACTCCACCTACAGTCACATAATCACCAAATTCTCTAGCGAAATTCTTTAACCACTTTTGTCTAAGGACGAATTGTTTTAAATTTTCAACCCTTCAAAGACCAATATTTTTGTAAAATACAATAAAACGAATTACTATAAAATGAAACAAGAAAAAGTCAAAAAAATTACAAATGCAACATTTATTATTAAATGTATATGTGAAATTAATTTTAATAAATTCAATAAGTACAAATATAAAAAGAAAATATTAAGAAACCATGCTTATTTATTAAAAGTGGATATACAGGTGATTAACAGAGTTAACTGCTATTACATTCATAATTTGTGTTTTTCAGCAATTATAACTGAGTACAATAGCAATTCTCCATAAGAAACACCTATCTGAATATTTTGAAAGAACACTGTTCTTGTAGCTTTTAGAAGTTTTAATGTGCTCGTTGCTTGTTAACTCATCTAATCTGCCTCCAGAGGATAATGTATATTTAAACTCTTTCTGCGTTGTTTAATTTAAACAACACTCATGTTTGAAAAACCAATGTCATAGACAATATTTACGTGAATTTTTAAAAAAGACATTTTAAAGCAATTTCAGCCAGCTCAGGATGTTCAGTCTGAACTTTTACATGAAATGAAGAAAGTGATACTATATTTTCAAAATTAATCTTCAATCCTTCATCAATAATCTGTTCCAAAATTTGTTGTGTAACATTACAGTTAACTTGAAATTACATTTGATGAAAGAAATAGATCTGAATTCACAAATTTTCTATGCATGAATGTTCTTTTGTGAGAAAATAAAATTTAAATTGGACACAATTATGCAAGATTTTGGTGATAAATTTTCACAAACGTTCAACATCGAAATTATCACCAACTATGGATAATTGTTAAGTGATGACATATGTCATAACAATTGGAGAAACTCTGTTCAGCCAAGCATCTAACTTTTGTGTTTGACCTTTGTTCATAAAAAACATTTTACGTTCCTTCTTTGAATGGAGGTATTGAAATCATTAAAAATATTGACGGTATCAGACAAATAAGTAAGTCTGGCTAATCCATATCTTTAAAATTTGAGATCAAGCTGGTTTCAAATTTTGCAGAAACAGTATGAGTTTGTTCTGCAGTTGAAATATTCAACAGATCATTTCTTCTTGATAACCATAAACGTCAACCATTAAGATCAACATCCATATTATCACATAATAAAGACAGTAATATCCAAGAGATATGCATATAATCAAGACAGTAATATCCACATAAT